AATCTATAAGAGAATATACAAACTTCAACCAAGTCGCAACAAAGACAACTATTCAACTTCTTATACAAATCTCACAAAACATATACAACCAGATTTGGATACCATACTGCGCTAAACTTTCAAAATGGAAACAGCAAAATAACATACCTTCCAGATCTAATCGAAGGCCAAGAACTTCTCACAGAACAACTAATCCTAATACAACCCGCTATAGAATATCACATACATACAGCTGCTTTTGCGGTTTATCCGACCAACAACATGATAATAATACATGTCCACCTCTTGGAAAAGCAATCAGAAAAATATCATTATAGACTATCATATGGATTAAATATAGTACACCAACTAATAACATTTTATATTATCAAATCTAGATGAGTTTTAACCACTCTAGTAGGTTTAGGTTGTAGATGAATCAGAATTTCTAGTTTAGATAGCTTCTGGTAGTCTGAGTCTTATTCTTGTAAAATTTTTGTAACTTGGCTCTGGTCAGAAAAACCCATAGTAGATTCTCAATATAAAATATTAATAAAAATAAAGGCAAAACTTCACCTTAAAAAAAAAATAATAATAATAATTAATAATGTAAGTAAAAGCAAAGCAATTATTAGAGACCCCAGTAGAAGTAATTTCTGTAGTAAGTGTATTGGAATTTGTGATTGCGATTCAATTGGAAAAGGAAAATCAGCTGAAAGGTATAGTAACATATTTTTTATCTGTGATAACTCTATTACAGAGCAGGCCATTAGACAATTCTTCAAATCATAGCTTTTCGAGCCTAAATTTTTGAGATTAAAATATACTATCCTTACTAGTTTCAGATGCTTTACTATCTTCACTTCATAAGTCACTCATCTTGGATTCTTCTATACTTTTTCTATTGCAGAGCAATAGCTCTTTGAGTCTATGTACAAAATATTAGGCAAGATTAATATTATTGCATTGCAATAGGACTTTCAATATAGAACTTTGTTCCTTGCTCTGTATATTTTTTCATCACCTTTAGTAATCACAGATATTGGCCATGCCAGCTCCACTGATATAGTATTTGATTTCTATAAAGCAGTGTATAGACTCGAAGAGCCATTTCTTTAAAATAAAACATCTAATCATTCAAACTTATTATTCTTCAAAGCCAATTCAGTTTTAAGAAACATTATCTCAAAATCTTTTTTTGATGAGTATTTCTAAGTTAAGATAATTCTTCTTCTAATGACTTGATTCTAGATTGAAATAAATTTATTTTTTCTAGTTTATTATAATACTTGGCTTTATACTCAGTAAAGTTAGTATTTTTGCTTTTCAACTTTTTAATTTCTTTTTTAAGTTGTTTTTTAATCAAACTACTTTGATTTTTATTATCAATATACCAATTTAATTTTTCTGAAGATATAAAATCTTGTTATTTTTTTTTTTCAGCTTTTTAGTAATCACATCAGATCATGCTTTTGCAAGAGCTTTAGCATTTCTAAATTTAGAACATTTATTAACAAAAAATTAATTTCAAGAAGCAACTCATTATATTGTAATTTAAGTTTATATTCTCTACTAAATACTATCTAATTTATATTCATATTCTTGAAAATTTTTGGCATCAGTAAATTCACTATACAAAGTATATATTGGTGTCATATAATCAAACAAAATTATATTCAAAGAAAAAACTAATCACAATTAGACTTTTACTAGTTATGTATAAAAAGGAACCAGATAATAATTAGTATTTAATCAGACAATAATTAGGCAAAAGTTAGTAATTAGCTAGGCAAAAATTGATACTTAGCTAGGCATAAAATAATAATTAGCCTAGCAAAGGTTGGTAATTAACTAGTTTTATATGAAAATAAATATATAATCAAATCAGTACTAATTATTTTTCAGTTTTTATTTAATTTGTAACTGTTTATTGTCTAATTATTATTAGTTTTTATCTAATTACATACTATATAGGAATAAATAGATATTTTTCTAGATTTAAATTAGATATTTTTTTAATATTATTATATATTTTCTAAAATAGTTAAAGCCAAAGTTAGATTTCAAGTTCAACAATATCTTAACTTTACTGCTACTTCATTAACTTCTGAAGTAATTAAAAAAATAAGGGATGTTTATACAAAACAGATACCAAATAGAAAATGCATTATGTATAATAATTATAGAATTGGTAGCGAAAGATATGATAATATTATAAGTGGCCAGATATATCCTCAACCACCTAAAATAGAAATAACATCTATTAATTCATCTATCTTAATATCTCAACCAAAAATCTTGCTTATATATAGCTTATCAAGTATCAGAAATTCTAAGCAAATAATTTTTTGAGCAAACTAGCGACAAAAAAAACTAGCAGAAAAAAGAAAATCTTACAAAATAAAAAACTTCCTAGTTCTAATATTAATAAAACAAACTATAGTATAGAATTATCTAAAGATAGAGATCGATCAGAATCAAAAACTATGAATTATTCTATCTCATAAATACCAGAAAGTGATGTGCAAGCTAGAATGAAAATTTTGTGAAAATATAAAAAATAGCTTTAAGCTAAATCTTGAAATTGTATTAATTTCTTTTCAAGATATTCTGTATAATCAAGAGCTCTAATAAATTTCTTTTTAATAGTTGCTTTATTTTCTAAATTTTTCATACCTGATATGATTTGAATCTTGAAATAGAATTCTAGTCTGAGAAAGAAATCAATTTGTTTATTAGAATCTATTATGTTTTTTTTAGATCTTTAGTAAATGAATCAGAGACTTGAGACTCTTTTTTTATTAGATGCTGGCTCCTCTTTAGTATCAATCTTGGTAGAAGATTTAAAAGTTTAATTTTTTGAATTATTATTCTGAATTACTATTATATAAAGGCTTGATGAAACATTATCCTTGATTAGCTTAGTAAAGGTTAGAATAATATAAGATTTTCTATGAACTATTATTTAAAATTCATGTTTGTTTGTATTTAGAATTCTTTGAACTTTTCAAATCTATGATATTCTTAAACAAAAAAGGTAATCAGATTTTCCATCATCAATAATAACAATATATTTTGTTTCAATAACCTATTTATTTTTATATTTTATAGATGGTATATCCTTATGTCCTCCTACTAATTTTATTATATAATCAGAATTATATTTAAAAGAAAAATTTGATGCCATCTTAAAATTCTACTCTAATATCTTATTTAGTGCTTTATTTATAACAAGACATTCCAATGCTGTATTGGCAAACCTATCCATATCTTTAATTCTACACTGTATATATTCAAATGATTTGGCCTATTTATTTTTTATAGATAGGTTAATAATTTTTTTTTGTATTGCTAGAGATAATAATTCTAATAACTAGTCATCCGATTCTGGGAAAAGGTTTGACATAGTAACTTTCTTATTTTGTTTAGATTCTGTAACTAAAGATTTGCATGAAATTACTGATTTATTCTGTGATATCTTATTTATTGTTAGTGATATCTATTTTTTTATCTAAATAGAATGAAAGAGCATGCCATGGTTTATCTTTCTTATTATATTCACCTTCATCTTCTTTGCTATTATTTGAATTAAGAGGTATATATTGAGAATATATTAACTTGAGAGGTATAAATATGATTAAGTATAATTAGATTGAACCGTAGATTGATTGGAGCATTTATTCTTGCTATGGCCTATTTTTCTACAAATTCCACATTTTCTTATATATACTTTTTTCTGTAATTGGTCTGCTAACTGATTTATAGTATTTTGAGTTTCATTAAGCCCTTCTTTTATTCTATCCATTCTGGCAGATTGATTTTGTTGCTGAGGTTTTTTAAACAATGCTTTTGCTTGCTCAAGGTATTTATTATAATTTGAATTTTGGGTAAGTAAATCTATATAATTATCTTCTTAATCTACTATGTAAAATGCTTGCTGAAGTTTTTCTGATTTAATAGGATAAATCTTAGATGAGAGTTGAAAATTTTCTACTGTTGCAACTTTTGGGTATTGTACTTGAAGTTCAACCTTTAATTTTTCTATTTCAGCTTTAGATTCAGCTTACTGTTTTGCAAATACATTTTGAATTTTTTTTACATATTAGCTATGGAGAATGCTAGTTGTTAAAATATAACATCTGGAATAGCAGGAGCAATAGGTGCATAGCAGGTTGTGATAAGGCTTGCTATAATATTTCATAATGTAATTCAAGTTCTGCTAAACTATCAATTCTATCATTAATTAGTGATTTGCTAGTCAACCAGAGAAGATCTGCAAATTTTTATAAATAAATTTTATTATTGAGCCAAATATGGAGTACACTAATCTAAACTTTTTTTTTACTAAATAAATCACTCTTAGACTTATAACAAAAGTTGTACATATCGGTAGATTTAAGGAATTGATATCCCCAAATTCATATATAAATTGTAATCAGCTGATCATTTTTATATACTAAAAAAATAAATAAAATTAATACACAAGACATTTTATATATACAAAAGTGAGTCAAACCAATTATCTGACCTAAAAACTAATTGTGCTTTTTAGTAATTGCGTAAATAAGAAGTATTATAACTATTAGAAGGCATTTTATTTGTTTAATAGTTAATCGTCTTTCATTAATTTAAAATTCTGTTCTTTATAGCAAAAGTTTAAGTAACGATTGAAAAGGTTAAAGTTATATTAACTACTGCTATATCTTAAACTATTGACTATTGTAGTTTAAGTATGTTTAAGCTAAATCTCAACTTCTGGTCAAAACTAGTATCTTAAAAAAATTGTTTTTTTTTTTGGTTTTCCAAAAATATACCACTCGCCACAAGTAAATTTAAATTTTGAAAATACTGTTTACTTATACTGCATATTATTTCTAATATATTCTAATTTAATATAGAGCCTGGGGTGCGATTGGGTATCAAACTTGGTTGCTATTGTGAAGTTTGTTCATTAATTATCAAAAATCAGATGATTTATTTGTAAAGTTATTGTATGAAGTGAATTTAGAAGTAATTTAAAGTATGATTTATTGATTCAAGTAAAATTTAAAAAAGCTGCTGAAACAATGAATTGTGAAATTAGATTTGGAATCAAAAAGGATGTACATAAAGCATTCTTATATTATCAAAAATCTACTGGAATAGAAATGTTTCTCGTAAACACCTGTTATCAAAACAGACTTGGAGTTAAAATGGATAAAAATAAAGTATTTTTTATTCAATAATCTGAAGTTTTAATTTCTCAGTTCTTATTGATAAAAAAACTTTATTTCAGTGGTGGAGTTCTAATTTGGATGTTTCTAAACCATTTACAATCTATAACTAATAATATTTCAATACCATAAATTGACCTTACATATACCAGCAGTTCTTTGAAATTAGAAACTTAGTGGTTTTACAGATCTCTTGTGGTATAGGTGTCTTATTTAATAAAATTATGAATCAATTGACTATAAAATGAAGTCATCTATACTGCAAGAGATCCAGCTTTTCTTATAACCAATCTCAATATTGTTATATTCTTTGATTGAATATGTTAATAAAAAAAACTTATTTTAATAGTGGAATTCTAATGTCATTACGAATGAATTCTTTTATTTGAATGTTTCTAAACCATCTACAATACTATGGATTGACCTTACTTATACTGCTGGTCATTTGAAATCAGAAGTTACAGCATATATTAATGGAAAAATTAACATATGATCTTTATTTTTTTGATGGTTTTCCTTATAACCAATAATTTGTTTTAGTACTTTAAACCATCATTACTTTTATTAGAGACGAGAATT